TAAGAATCTGGAACAGCTAGTCACCTGCGACATTAAACCATCGACTTGCTCCACAGTTATCTTTGCACTATCTCTAGTAATCTTAGCAAGCTGCGATTCTTCCTGCAACTCAGAAGTGCAGTTTCCACATTGCATACAAAATTAGCCTCTGAATAGCTTTGGACAACTATACAAATAACAAATATTATACTGACCTCCTTCTTTCGAGGGGGTCCTAGTGGGCCAATGCGAGAGTGAGCCAATTGATTCTCTGCTTGCTCCAGCTTTTCAGCTGAACGATGGAACAATGCGATCAAAGTCAACAAGAACTTGGTCTCGATTTCATGCTCAAACAAGAAAACCAAACTATGCATACAACAAAATTTACCTCTCAAATGAAACTAGGATAGAAAAACTTTACCTAAATCTGAAATTTGTCCTGCAACATAATCTCCACTGCCCAAGAGAGGTGAAGAAGAAAGGGTATTTACCCAATACTTATTCCATAGCAGATCCAAGAGGTGGCAATCAAGAGAGGACTTGAAATAAGTGATATCCAATGAATAATACTACAGAAAAACATACAGCAAAATTAACCAACAGTGAGAGGACAAGCATTCTCAAAAAAAAAAAAAACCATTGATGGAATTGCATAATAACCTGTTCACAGTGAACACCAAAGTCTTCAATCTTATTCAGAGGAATGGTCTGATACTCAGAGATAGGATCATCGGGAGGCTTATATCCTTGAGGGTATGCCCTGAAAGCTCCAATCTCAACTTTTCCAGCAGAAACAGTCCTTGTTGGATCAATAACAACTGCCAGGAAGGGCTCCTGAAACTGCTGGTTTTGCATTTGGGTTGAAACATCAATACCAGACAGCCAGCATCCATACCCGGGATGAGAGTGGTACCATCCAACAACATTCTCCAATCGTCCAGCCTACGAAAAAAACAACATTCTTCTTGAGAGAAATGATTTTTATGGACAACATTATAATGGTTTCTGATACAATCATACATAGCTGCAAGGATATAAGTGAACAAAACCACCTAGTTCAACTCAAAATACAATTTTGGAAGGTTAATAACATCTTTCCTTCTAGATGGTGCAATAAAGATAGGGGTTAGCTCTTAACAGTGAAGGAATGCTCATAAAAACAATCACTTTTAACAAAATTTAGGATTTTCAGCTCCCATACATAATTATCAGCTCTTCCATTTGTCTTGGCTTGGCTTACATGATAAATTGTAAGTAAATTACTGAGCTAATCTAGCGGTTCATCAACAATAGCTCTCCAGAAAAATCCATACTTAGGAGGAAAAAGAAAAAGAAGGTTAATAAAAAAACCTGCTTGTTGGTCTGGGAATAATCAACCATATACTCATAGGCATCAGCCTGAGCATTAACCCTAGTCTCCGTCCCTTCAACAGGCAGAGCAAAGGCGTCCATGACAATGATGGCGTCGCCGTCGGTCTTGCCTTGCATCAGGCCCATGACCTCGATGGTGCCACCAGATCGGGCGTGGACAACCATCTTGAGTAGAGCGAGGGCAGAGATCTTAACGCGCTTGAAGTAGTGGGGATCATTCGCCCAAGGCTTCTCTTGTTGGAACTTGGCTTGAGCGGCCTCGTCGTAGAAGAATATCGAGTCCGATGAAGGGTCTGGCGTGTCCACTGTCAGGATGTTGTTCTCTAATTCCCATCTTTTCTGGGCTATCGCGGAATCCATGCTCGCAGTTCCAGCCCCCACCGCGGCACCCAAGGCAGAAGGGTTTTACCCTTTTATATCAAGATCACAAGCCCCGCCGATGCGAGGAGGGTCGGTTGGCCCGAAACTCCTCCGCTGTTCTTGGGCTTGGACCTTATATTTCTACTTGCTCGAAGATATTAATCACTGGGCTGC